TCGTGCGTGTCTGGAACTTGTTTGACATTCTGGCCATTCTCGCCGACAACGTGGACTGCGACCCGCCGCTGCTGTTTTGGCTCGTCGAGGAGCTACTCGACAGCCAGACGATAGCAGGCTGCCGCAAGGTGTTTGACTACCTTGAATCGCGCCGCGAGCGCATCACCGCCAAGTACTTTAACAGTACAAAGCTTGTTATCCTGCGCAGCTGCAACGACCTTTTGCGGCGCTTATCGCGTGCTGATGACACGCCATTTTGTGGCCGTGTATTCATTTTCCTCTTCCAAGTCTTCCCGCTGGGCGACAAGAGCTCGGTCAACCTGCGCGGCGAGTACCACGTCGAAAATGTGACAACATACGACGAGACGCCCGTCACGGCCGAAGCTGAGACGCCGGCAGGAAAGACTGGCGAGGAGGACGGCGGTGCTGAGAAGATGGATGTCGACGAGGCGGCGACAGCGACACCAACTGGCCCTGCCGCCGACCAAAAACCCAGAACCGACTTTACCGCCCTTTACCCCGTCTTCTGGTCGCTGCAGACCAGCTTCAGCCAGCCCAAGAAGCTGTTCGACCCTGACCACTTTAGCAAGTTCAAGGCCGGCATGGAGGCCACTTTGGCCACTTTCCAGCAAATCAGCAGCCAGGACAACTCGCGCAAACAGCGGCAGCTCGACGAGTCACGGCGGGGCGTCAAGCGCAAGCGGGACAAGGAGGAGAGAGAGCTCAGGGAATTGAAAGAGGCCAAGGGGACCAGGGAAGATACGAAGGACATTGAAGACGAGCAGGACGAGCTGGCCGATACGTACAACCCCAAGTACCTCACGAGCCGGGACCTGTTTGAGCTGGAGGCAAGTCAAACCTCGGCCGTCGGCCACATAAAAGTTGCTACTTTACTGACATACGATACAGACCAGTGACTTGACCTTCCGGCGCCATTTCCTGTTGCAGGCGCTCATTGTCATGGAGTTTTTGCTGTCCCTGTCGCCCAAGGCCAAGGAGAAGCTGGCAGGAACCAACGCACCCAACAAGTCCGTCACTTACTCTGACCAGACGCTCAGCAATGAAGATGCTGCCTGGGCCGCGAAGATGAAGCACGACATCACCGATCATATTAAGAATAGCAACAGTGATGGGCCGTACTTCTTGCGAATGGTCGACACCATACTTGCGCGCGACAAAAACTGGGTCCGCTGGAAGATTGAGTCGTGTCCGTCTATCGAGCGAGCCCCCATCTCCGCGGACGAGTTTGTTGCCGCCGAGGAGGGCGCCCAGCGCGCTTTTGGCCAGCGCCGTCGGCGCAGCACCGGCAATATGAACTCCTTCTCGCTTGATTTTTTGGACGAGGAGGATCCCGAGGAGGCTCTGGCCGAGCTCAAGAAACCGGGCCGCTCCCAATTGTCGGCCCTCGACGCCTTTGAGCGGGAGATTGCCGACGAGGACTTTGAGATTGAGATGCCAGACAGCGACGCATCGAAACAGCTGGCCGAGGAGCGCAAGGCCAGCAAGACGTGGCGCGCGCTCCGGATTGTGCGGCAGACCAACCTTTCGATATTTGACAAGATCGACAATGATAACGACGTGCGGCTGATCTTTAAGACGGCCGATGGCAGTCTCCTCGAGGAGGACGAAGACGAGCTGGACGCCGAGGCGGATGGCGTGACGGGCGATGCTGTCGACGGCGACAAGCTGCCGTCTGACAAGCAGGCCGTAGTCCTTGTTGCCGCCGCCGACGACATCGCCGTAGCAGTCGCCAAGTCGCTGGTCGAGCAGAACCCGGGTGTTTTTGGCACTGTTGGCCAGTACACGACGCGCCCGTCGCCAGCTGCTGCTACCGAGTCGGAAGCAGCTGCAGTCGGTGGTGCCAAGAGCTACTTCCAGCATCTCGAATCAAAGGCATTCAACTTGCTTCTCGACGGCGATGAGTTTATCGGCTTCGGCGAGTCGGCTGGTCATCAGTACGGCTCTCGTCGGAAGCAGATCGACGTCGCCTGTGCTACTGGCAAGATTCCCCTGGTACTCATGAACTACGAGGTATGTGTCCCGCCGAGTCATGAACACCTCGCACTCCTCTGCATTTTGTACTAACTCATACAGAGCGTCGATGCTGCCCAGGGAAATGCGTTTGCTGCTCGCTACGTCTTCCTGAAGCCGACCGGCACCGAGGCTATCGAGCCCTTACTGAAAGCGGCCGGCGCATACGAGGCCGACACTGACTTACAGGTTGCCCTAGCGGAGGCCAAGGAGGTTCTCGACAAGCTGGGAGGCGAAGGCCAGCCCACTTTTGCAAAGACGATAGACGTTGATGACGTGGCAGCCGCAGCGACGCAGCTTGGAAACTATGTCTACGGCAGAGAAGAGGCCACGGATACAGACCAGACGATGGGGGGCGTGGAGGAGGCAAAGGCGGATGCAGGCGAGTTCGACGAAGATAAGAAAAAGACCGCTCCGAAAGAAAGTGGCGAGACCACAAACGACGCGGCGGCCGACGAGGCCAAGCCAGCTGAGCCGAGTGCAGAAGAGGACGCCTCGATGGCCGATGCAGGCGACGATGCTCCAGAGAATGCCGTGGCAAACAAGGAGTGATTGATATCCCACATAAAGAATCCTTTTATCAACGGAGTTGGAAATGTACAATAGAGGGAAATTACAGAATCAGCGATCGCAATTCATAATGCTTACGTAGTTCAATACTTGCAAAGAACACTGCTGGACATGCCAACAAACACGCTCGTATAACTATCATATAGAACTAAGCCATATTGGTAAACGCTCTTCAAATGCGACTAATATCTGCTCCTCGTACCTTGTTGATACGTGCAGGTAAGAACCGTTGATCGAGCATTTGCTTCCCAAAATATATGCTGGCTATTTTCGGGGTATCATTCCAAGAAAGCCACCAAACAAAGCCGACAAAAAAAAACTAAAAGTGATAAGAAAATGATTATTAAAAGAAGAAGGAAAAGGACCGCAAGCGATTTGCACGGCGGTTTGAACGTCGTGTTGTAAGCAGGAAAGGAAACGAAATGATGGATCGAGCGCAAGAGTGTATCTCAAACGCGCTGGTATAGGAAGGAAAAGAAAGAAGAAAACGGACGCAAACATAGGGGAAAAGAAAGAACCAAATTCCGTAAACCAACGGTCGTAAACCAAAAGACCGTAACCAAACCGTTTGAATAAAGTCATAGGGCGCGTTAAGAGAAAAGAGTGCACGATATATTGGGGTATGATAACGCGGACAAGAGTGACATCTCACCGCCCAGTTGTGACCGGGTGCAAAAACAACCGACGGCCAATGTTACCAAAGCACACGCTGCTGCAGAAGAGCACGCTGAGCATCCATATAGCGGTCTCGGCTGTGACAGCCGATGCAGAAGCATCAAGGCCGCTGCCGTCATTAGAGGATGCTGACGAGCCGTTCTGATGGAAGGAGGAGGTACCATAAGCACCACCCACACCAGCGCCGTAGCCAACATAGTAGGGACTCGAATGCATGCCCGGATTGGGCATCCAATCAAGATTCAAAATCATGAGTGCACCGGAGCCGACAACGCCAAAGGCAGCAGCGAGAAGAAGGCCTGACTTGGACCGGTCCAAGAGGTACCACAAAAATGGGTTCGCTAGAGCGAGGGTCAACGATGCCTGCATCGTTGACGTCCACGGCAGTTTGCGCTGTGGATATGTTAGTTCTGCAGTGCATAAAGAGACGGGGAGAGAGACCATAGGACACTACATACCATGGCGAATGCAACACCAGCAAAGGCACCAATGCCGCGCACAACGAGCGCCCAGTCGGTATCCGGCGCCGTGCGGGTCTTGCCCAACACTCTACCATTGCGGCCAAACGACCGATCCCAGACACCGTCGAACCATGGTAGAAGCGTGCCAAGCGCAATGCCCGACAGACCCCACGATACCAGGTAGCGCCAATCGTAGCTGGCGACATACTCGGTCGCAGGGCTGGTATCCGCCGACGAAGACGTAGACTCGCCAAGGTCATCAAACGGGATATGGGTCTCGCTGCGCAGACGGGACACGAGAACGCCGTAACCCATTCCGAGGGTGAACAATAAGACCGCTCGAGCGAAAACAGAGAGGAAAAGCAGGATATGGGACAGCGGTGACGGCCCCGTTGACTGTCCGGGCTCTTCGGGGATGCTCTTCCTGCGGCTAAGAGGCGCCGGTTGCAGCTTGATGGTAGGTACGGCGTCGGCACTAAAGCTCTCCCCGCGCCTCCGCTGACGCTGCAGCAACATGAGCGACTGCGATGCCTTCCGCACTTCGTCAATCTCGGCAGCAGACGCGTTCGTGTTTTTGCCTTCTGCATCGTCTTCGTCATCGTTTCCGGGCGCCTCCGCGAGCAGCTCACGCGCTGGTGTCTCGGCGCCGGTGCCCCAAGGTGTGCTAGACTCAAAGATGCCGCTGGCGCCGCCTCCCACACTGCCGCGGCCGGGTGTTGTCGGGCTGAAGATGCCGAAAAGCGTGGACGACGTGAGGTTCATAATCGACTGGGCACGACTGATGGACTCGCTGCCACCAGGTGTTAAGTTGGTGTCGGCGTCGGTCGGCGGCCGCGGGTCAAGAAACTGTGCAGCCTCTGTGTACTGCCGCGGCTGTCGCCGGTCGGGTCGCGAGGCATCCCTACTGTAGATATCCTCTGGAGGTGTGGCGGGTTTGACAAAGGGTCGCCGTGGGATCGGTTGGTGGACGACCAACGGAGGGCCGTTGGTGGACATGGTTAGGTGTATGGGAGCGGGAGCCGGGAACGAGCCGTACGGTTCAAGATAGCGGGTATAAAACAATAAATACTTCGTATAGTTCACGCGAGGAAGCAGGTCCGCAACAAACGTTGGGCGCTGTAGAAATGCCGTCAGCTTTGTTAGTCGGTATTTGATGCGAGGTATGAACGGAGGTCGGAGTCGAAGTCCGTGGGGCGAAGGACGAGGTGAAAAACGTCCAGAGCAGTGCCAGAGCGTGATATGAGGACGAGTCCTATAATTAATATGCGATGCGGAGAGATCGAGAAATCACAGAGACCACAAAGCGAGACAAACACCGCAAGGGACGTCCGAGAAGACGCGAGGAGGTCAGAGACTACTGTCTTAAACAGGCATGTGGCCAGCAAAGCGCGCGACGCCCTCGCAGAATGCGGCAATGGGAGGCAAAATAGCAATGCGAAGGGGGATATGCCAAAGAATGCAATAGAGACAAACGAGATGAAGAAATGAGAAAGAAAAGGAGAAAGAGTACGAGAGTAAAGAGGGGGGGAAATGCAGCGAAAAATGAGGAGTGCACGGCAAGACTGCAATGGTTGCAGGCGCCAGATATGAGGAAACGGACCGTTCGCGCCTGCTGGTTGGGACAGAATGAAGCGCGCCCAGGAAGGAAGAGCTGTGTGAGGGACTAAAAAGCGGGCCACGGCAGGAAGGCAGGGCCCAACCAGCCTACGGACAGCAATTCAACACTACATATGAAGTACGTCGTACGTAAGTATCTGCCAGTCACTTTTGCGTACGAGCTAGCGAATTGTTGCCTTGCGAGTCTTGAAATTGCCTGTTCCAGACAAGTCCCGGCTGGGTTGATGCATACGAGACAGAAACGAAAGCCAAAAAAGCTGTCAGAAATGTCCAAGGCTGAATGCGCTTCCAGTCGCGCCAGGCGCACCTTCCTGGCTTTTATTTTGTCTTGCTCTTCGCCCCAACACTCCTTCCTGGCTTGCCCTCCTTCGCATCCGCTCCTTCCGTTAACCGCATCATAATACCGAAAGACCCATGTCTCCCCTCCACTCGCTGTTTGTTGGGCTATTGTCACATGCTCTTTCTTGGCAAGTCAACCGGCTGACTGCTGTTGCCATGAATATTCACTACGTCGTAGAAAAAGCAAGAGCCCCTCCTTCCTCAAGACGTTCAGACAGAAGGAATGCACGTCAAATGTTCACCGGATTTTAGTAGCGCTACTGGTAAACGACCTGTGGACCATGGGGACGCGCGCCTTCCCCAGACAATGCCGATCAGCAGCAGACACAGAAACAAGCAGGAGCACAACCACAGCGCAAAACGTCTGTACGAAGTACACTTTGCAGCCCATGTGATCCGCCACAATTAGGACCCACTCCTCCACTACTGATGACCTGACTACGATGTAGGGAGTACGAAGCTCCCTACCAAAAGTATTGTCCCACCGCCTTTTCTGCGCTAGTACATACATGTACAAGCGTTAATGTGCCTTAAAAATACTTGGCACTGTATTTATTTAGTGCTTATTTCACTAAAGATTAGCACGATATTCACTAAAGTTACCGCTAGAGAAAATTTTTGTTAGGGATTATAGTGCCTAAGCTTTAGGGACATAATACGGTACGCAAATTATTTTGGGCACGGAGTTTTGCCGGTGTTATACGAAAGCGGTGGGGCGATACTTTTGGTAGGGAGCTTCGTACAACATATGCTACTTCCCTCTTCTCCACCACCAAGAATCCGAACGTCGACTTTATTCACCCAAAATACAGCCGCTCTGCAGAACATAATACAGCTGCGCAATCATGCATGCAACCCCACGCGCCTTAACTCCTGCAGCAATCTCCTTTCGCCTCTCTGCTTTCTCACCCCAGACGCCCCGTATTTGCATGCATCGTCGCAACCGACTGCCCTGATTTTGAAAGCTCGGCGAAGCTGTGCAACTCCGAAGGATATCGCCAAGAGCCGGAGCTCGGCATTGCCTTGAAAATACGATGATTGCTTGCCTTCAGTCGCCCCAGTGGCGGCCGCCGTGGCTGCTTCTGTGCTTACGCATATCACACCTGTCTCAGAGCAACTATCAAATTGATGGGTACGTACGTAGGCAAACTAAGATCAATATGGGCGCCATGAAACATGAAGAAAGAGTAAGCAAAACAGAAACATATGAAACATGAAATTCGAACGCCGAAATGCTTCTCCACGGATCTTTCTCTACTCGTCGTCCTCCTCCTCGTCCTCGTCATCGTCTTCCACATCACTGTCCTCAACGCCGTCTGGCCGAGGAATCATCACAAATGCCTCCACGCAGGTGATACGGTCCGGCGTCTGGTACGCGCCGAGCAACGTACCCAGCTGCTTGGGCTTTGCCGCCAACGGGCTACCGCTGGCGCTGATGGCCGTGCTGTTCTTGTAGGCGCGGCGCAGCTCCTGGCCCGTAATCTTCCACACGCGCAGCATGCCCGTGCTCGTCGCCGACACAACGTACCAGGCCTTTTGTAGTCTCTTCTTGTCGCCCTTGGCGGCCCCATCTACGGGCTCTAGGACAGGTAGGATCTTGAATGCCTTGACTCGGCCCGTGACGCCCGTCGCGTTGCCACCCAGCTGGCCGATCAGACGTGCCGAGGGCAGCGGAGCAGCAGCCGTAGCCGCCTTTTTGTCATTGCCTGGCGTAGCAGACGCAGGAGCGGCCACCAAGTCCTCGTTGCGCGTGGAACAGAGCAAAATGCGTCCGTCCTCGGTGGCCACGGCCAGGAGCGAAAACAGGCCCGCTTTGTCCGCGGCGGGCGCATCTGGGTCGTCTCCAACCTCCACGTAGCAGAAATCATGCGTCTTTGTGAGTACGTCGCTCAGCACCTTGCACCGTGGCAGACTGTCCATGCCAAATACGACGACGTTACGGTCAAAACCAATCGCGTATTCGTCCATCCCGTCCTCGTCGTCGGCATCGGCATCGGCATCGGCATCAGCATCTGCGTCTGCACTCCCACGGCCAAACGTCCGGCCCCAGACAACCTGCCGGCCCTCGCCCGTCGCAAAGCGGCCCTCGCCCAGATCTCTCAACAACTCCTTGCTAAAGTTGAGCACACCCGCCTTCTTGCCAGTCACCAGGTTCCACAGCCGCATGCTGCGCTCGCCGCGGCTCACGCTGATCATGACCTTCATGCTCGGGTGCACGGCAAAGTCGTTGACACCCGACGGCGCGCCGCCTGGGGGTGCCGTGTCACCGCTGGGCCGCCGCAGGCCACCGCCCATGCCCTCCTTGGGCACGGGCGCCTTGATCATCGACAGCAGCGACCAGTCGCGCGTGCGCGTCACGGCAATCGTCGAGTCCTCGGACGCCGAGAGCAGCTTGGACCGTGTCGGGAACGAGAGCTTGGTAATGGAGGACGCGTGGTGCAGCAGCGTGCCCAGCTCGCGGTTCTTGGCGTTCTCAGCAATCGGCATGACTGGCCGGCTGGTGACAGCCGCCATGATGGCCCGTTCCTCGTCGGACGCGCCAAGACCCGAGGCGTCGGCCGGTGCATGGGCCGACAGGTTGTAGATGTTGATGCGTTCGTCGGTGCTGCCGGTGGCAAGCATGATCTTCTGGCCCTGGCCCGGGATGGGTGCCGACGGCGGCGATAGGGCGAGGCAGCGGATGGCCGACGAGTGTGCGTTGAACAAAAAGGTGTCGGTGAACCTCACACCCGCCGGAGTCACCGTGGCCACGACGCCGTGCAGCGTGCGGTCGTAAGAGCCGGCCACGATCTGGAGCGCTGCCGGTGCATCGCCGAGCGCCACGACCGAGTTGGCGGATGCCGTTGCTGTTGCTGGAGCGGGTGCTGGCGCTGCCACGGCCGTCGTCTTCGCACTTTTCGGCGTCTTGTCTTTCCGTCTGGTCGAAGCCACGTCAGCGGCAGTAGAAGAAGAGGTGGTGCTCTTAAGCGAAGACTTCTTCTTCAGGATGGAAGTCGGAGTTTTTGAAGTTGTTGGCGTCGACGTCGGCGTCGCTTTCGTCTTCGGTCTGGTCGCTGCAGGGACCTCCGGGTCCACAACCGAAGCCTTGGCCTCCCGCTTTCTCTTCATGGCGTTTTTTGGGGCGTGTGCTTGCATTGTTGAGGATTTATCGTATGAGGTTGTTATTTTCTTGACAAGAATCACCAGAAAAGCTCGAAACTCACTGTAAATTGGGGAGGACCGCCTAGCGCAACAGCCTCCTGCCGTTTGGGTGCCCACTAAAGATTTTTTTCTTATCGGTTTCCAGTCTTATCGCTTATCTTATCGCTAATCGCATTGTCAATAAAATCAAGGAGATTTCATCATACTGAATGTACCGTCGTCGAACTTCATTCCTCAGCAGTACGACACAAACTATTTCCGTTCAACTACATTCATGTTCATCACAAGCTGGCAAACGAGGTGGGAATTAAAACGCTTCAAAGATTAAAAATATAAAAGCCAAGTACGTGGCTAAAGAATGTACTACAACATACAAGGCACGATATGCCTCATGCTTAACCGGGCAACTTCCTAAAAAGACTCCCTGCTGACACCCTTGTTCTAGCTCGATGGCGTCTGGGCGCTGCCATTGGGCACAGCGTTGTTGCCATTCGCCTGGCGTGCCAGCTGGGCTGCTTGGTGTTGTTGCTGTTGCTGGGCAAGCAGTGGAGACGCGGCAACATTCGACGGCGATCCGGCCGAGCCCTGGCCCTGGCCCTGAGCCTGAGCCTGTGTTTGGGCTTGCAGCTGTGCTTGCTGGGCAGCCTGAGCCGCTTGTGCGGCTTGCATCTGCGCGACCTGGGCCGCCTGCACAGCCTGCGCTTGTTGTGCGGCCTGTGAGACGTGGTGCTGTGCCGACGCGGCTTGCTGCACCTGCTGGGCCTGTTGGGCTCGGAGCAGCTGCGCGTACTGCCGCGGGCTCGTGCCGGCCAGTGCCTGCTGCGGTCCGCCGCCCGCCGCCGAGTGCATGGCGCTAGCACGCTGCATCATCATAATCTGCGAGTAGTTCTGGATGGCCATCGTACGAGCTTGCTCTGCAGTCAGGCTGGGGTTTTTGGCACGGAAGCCGTTCTCCAGCTCGCGAATCTGCGCCATGATGTTGGGCGGGAGGGGCGATTGGGCCGGCATCGCTGGGCGCGGCGAGGGCGAGTTGGCCGCCATAGGGCCACCCATGCCCATTCCAACACCCACAGGGCTGCCCATGGGCGCGCCGTTGGCGGTGTTGAACTGGCCGGCCATGCCCTGGCCGTTAGCCATAAAGTTTTGCTGGTTGTTCATCGGTCGGATGCCGGTCGGCGAGCCTTGGAGCACAGACGGCGCCTTCACCATGGGCTGGCCCTGTTGCGCCAGTTGGGCCTTTTGCGCCTGCTGTGCGGCCGCTTGCTGTTGCTGCTGTTGCTGCTGGGCCTGCTGGGCCTGCTGAGCCTGTTGCTGCGACTGCGGCGTCTGCGACTGTGCCTGTGCCTGTTGCTGCGCTTGCTGCTGCATATGTTGTTGCTGCAGCAATAAGATCTGCTGTTGTTGTAGTTGGTGTTGCTGCTGCGGGGTGAGGTGTGGAGAGTGTTGGCCCTGCTGGCTGAGTTGGGCGTGTTGAGCGAGCGGTGTGTGCTGTTGGGTGTTCAGTACGTGTTGCGGTTGTTGCTGCTGATGCTGCTGTTGCTGCGCCAGTTGTTGCATCTGCAGCTGCTGCAACTGCTGGTGGTGCATCTGTTGTTGCAGATGGTGCAATTGCTGCTGCTGTTGCTGCTGCTGCTGCTGCTGCTGCTGGTGATGCTGTTGGTGCTGCTGCACTTGGTGTTGTTGCTGCACCTGTTGCTGCTGCTGCTGTTGCATCTGAACGGCCCGTTGCTGGTCCTGGATGCGCCGAGCCTGCAGGACAAGGTTAATGTCCGGCTGGCCACCCTGCGCAGCCTGTGCTTGCGCCTGCGCCATGTGGAGGCGTTGTTGCGCCTGCAGGGCTTGCTGCAGCTGGGCCTGTTGCACGCTCGTCATCGGGACTGGCGTGCCAGCGCTGTTCATCGCAATGTGTGGCAGGCCCTGCATGGGGTTCGCCGGGCTCTGAATGGGCATCCGCGGCCGCGGCTGCTGCGGGTTGCGCATGGGGACGCCGTGCGGCGCAACGGGCACGTTCGGCCGAGCAGCCATGGCCATGCCGTTCGCGGCGGCCATCTGTGCCGCGACTTGAGGCGGTACGCCAGGACCGGCAACAGCCATGCCCTGGTTCTGCTGGCGAGCCATCAACTGGTTCTATATGTATGTTAGGTAAGTCCAAAGCAATTTCAAAAGAGGGCATCGAAATGAAAATCGTACCTTGCGGTGCATCTCCGCCTGCCGCTGCGTAAACTCGGCCAGGCGTTCAGCCATCCGCTGGTCGCGCTCAGCTCGCATTCTGCTGTACTCCCGTGGTGACTTCATCGCAGGGCGCTGCTGAGGCGGCTCGTTTGACTTCCGGGTAGCCACAATGGCTGCCTGCTGCTGCTGCTTGTGCTGGATGGCCTCACGCTTCTTCGCGAGCTTCCGCATGGCTTCAAATGTCGCCAGATGCCTCTGGTTGCGGTGACGCTCTACCCGCATAGCAAGAGTAGGTCGACGTCTTTGCACTGGTGTCGGGGGCGGTGGTGCTGAGCCGCCACTGCCATTGGTCTGCGCCGCCGCTGCGGCCGCGGCTGTGGCTGCGGCTGCGGCAGCCACGGCCTTTTCGTTCGCCTCGCGGATCGCTTTCTGCGCACCGTCAATCCGTGACTGGTACATCTTGAAGTATGGCGACCGCGATGCATCACTGGGGAAGCCCTCGAGGCTGACCCACCGCTCGAAGCATTCCCACGCCGTGCGCCGCTCGGCTCCTGACGCAAAGAGCGACTTGGGGGCAAGAAGGCTCGCCGTCAACGCCCAGTTGTACGAGTACTCGCGCACGAGCTTCTTCAACTGATCGTCGTCCGCCACGGTCCATTGCGATGGTGGCCGGTACTCATAGAATCCAGGCATCGGCATCGGATATTCAGACGGAGGGCGAAACTGGTGACCAGCGTGCAAGCGCTCACGCATCGTCTTCAGATTCGGGTCGAACAGCCCGACAATGTTGTCAGCTGCAGCTGTGTTGCGCGTCACTTTCTTGTCGGTCGCTCCGCCGGCTGGCGTCTCGTCCACAAATTCCTCGACATCGTCATCGTCGTCCTCGTCGTCAATGGCATATCGGCTCTGTTTTTGCAGCAGTGGTCTCCGCTTAATCACAATTGGCGTCTCAATGTACTTGCTGACGGGAACAACAGGGCGGCGCCAAGCGGCATCTGGATCTTGATCTTTGGACGTCAGGTCGGCCTTGGGCACTTCGAGGGGCGAGCCATACATGGGCAGTTCGGCAAGGAGGCGGTCAGAGGACACAGACGGGTTGAGTTCGAAGACGACCGCATCGTCTTGCAGGGCGAAAATGGCAGAGGGCGCCACGGTAGTCGCAAACGGAACAACAGCTTCCGTGAAATCACCGTCATCGACCAGGTCCACTTCGTCTGCGTCAAGACCAGCCGCCGCGTCCCGAGCTTCGTCCGCGTGCGCGGCATCAATCATAGCATTGCCAATCATCTGCAAGTCGTCCGTCTCAGCGCTGCGCCGCGGCGGGATGCTAGCAACGACCTGCAGAGCTTTCCGTTGCTCGGGTGTTGCGTGGACCCATTCGGCACAGGCAAGAGCCAGACGGCGAGCAGCCGAGTGCTTCCACTTGCGTTCTTCCCGAAAATCGGTCCGCATCCACTTCACCTCCTGCAGCATCACATCCCAATGCGACTTTTGTCTCACGGGCTCCTGGGCGCGCTTCGGCTGGCGCAGTGACCATTTATCCTGCTGCTGAAGATGATAGACGCGTTTCAGGATCTTGCACGATTGGTTGTCGAAAATCGATGCTTGGCTGTCGGCACTGGAGATGGTCTTCCGCGCATGATGCACTAACTGATCGAGGTTCTTAAGCCACTTGGAGTTTTGCGCAAACGTCTGCACGAAGAGCGGGGTGAAGTAGTCCTCGGCGAACAGGTTCTCCGACTTGGCGAGGTTGGACGGGACGATCGTAGTCTCGGGCTTGCTCTTCTTCTGCTTGCCGAACAAGACCGTCGGTGCCTTTCTCTTGCTGTCCTTCCGAATGTCCGCCACTACCAGATCGCCGAGGGTAAGATTCTCGCTTGCATCGCCGGTCGATGGCTTAGGCGTCGGGAGAGTGGCGAGAACAGAGGGACTGGCAGCCCCGTTGACATAGCCCGCCTGGCCGTTCATGTGGTTCAATGCGGACGGCCTCGACTCCGTTGTCGGTCTGGTCAATGCCGAGCTGGTCGCGTCCGTCGTTGCCGGTGCTGGCGCTGGCTGCGACGCAGTCTCTTTCTTTGCAGGATCCTCAGTCGTCTCATCCACTTCCATAGCCTGCGATGGACTTTGAGTGGCTGCCGCTGGAGTTGTCGGTTGTGCTTGTGGTTTTGTCTTGTTTGCTTCGCTGCTGGTCGCTGCTTGGCTCTCACCAGCCGCAGCAGATTCCTGGAGCAGTTGTGCCTCGACGGTAGCGTCGCGGGCCCCATCGGCAAGATTCTGATCCTCCGTCTTCCCCTGGCTGCTGCGCAGTTCGGCCTTTTCGTCGCTTTCGGCGTAGGACTCGTTCTCGTTATCGGGACTCGTGTTTACTGACACGTCGTGTACCGCGGGCGTCGTGGCCGTCTGGGCGATAGAGTCAGGCGACGAGGGAATGTCGCCAGCCTTTGCCGCATCGTTGGTAGCATTGTCAGGCGAGTTGGCGAGCTTCGCGTCCGCGCTGTCCACATCCATCGCATCTTCGTCCCGTGGCGCAAACGCAACTGCGGGTGCTGTCGGTGTCGTTGGTGCTTCTGGCTTCGTGCCATTCACTACCGGTTGGGTCGTCGCTGTCTCTGCTGCCAAGGCGGGTGATGCCTTGCCATCGTGCGGGATGCCATCTGGCCTCTCGCCGTTCAGAGCCGCCAAACCGGCTGTTGTCTGGGGAGTTAACAAAGGTGTCCTGGATTGAGAATCCGCGCCCGTTGGTGATGCCGACGCTGGCAGTGTCCCCTGAACCGGGGACCGGCGTTGTGTGGCCGCATTCTCAAGAGCATCCTGGGCATTGCGACCGCTTGTTGACGCAAGATGTGATTCGGGAAGGGTGATCGAGGGAGCGTCGTGATCTTGTGTTGTTGGTGTCGGTGGCGCGCCGTTTTCGACGGTGGGTCGCGTGTCAATGCCTGCTTCCTTCAGGTAGGGAGCAGACGCGGATGCAAAGAACTGCTTGAGCGTCTCAAGGTCGGGCTTTTGTCGTGTCGGGATGCGCGCGTCGCTGAGCGGACGACCTCTGCAAACGGACGTGTTAGTTGTGGGCGCGTGGGAGCGGCACAGGGCCGACGCGTGCCGGAATCATGCAAACAACGGGGGATATGCGAGAGGACACGTACTGTAAGATGTCTGTGTCAAGCAAGAATTTTGTTTCGCCGGTGGTGGATGGCGGCGCGTCGACGTCGAATTTGTTTAGATTGAGGGCGCCATCGCCATCGGTCGCGACAGCGTAAAGTTCGCGCAGCTTGCGTTTGCGCGATCGCACGATTGAGCTAAAAACCATCAGCACGACATGAGCGATATCAAAATGACGAGAAAAATTCGCGCATTCGAATGAAATCGGTCGTACCTATATTCTGCCCGCTTTAATCGCAGAAGCTCGAGGCGGTCGGCGAGTCCGACCTCAGTCATGGCATGAGTAGGTGCGACATCCGTTTTCGACGAAACGAAATGTCGAAACAAGCTGAGAAGAACCAACACAGTCGTTTGCCGCGATAAAAAATGATGAAAAGGACTCTGTTGGTGTGTTTTGGGTCGATTTTTGTTTTTATTCGAGTTCGTGATGTTTCGCTTTTGGGGCGATAAATTTTTCAAAAGTTGCCTGGGAACGTAAAGTTCAGGTGCGTTTTCGCAGTAAGTCTGGGGTGAACTTTGAGATAGCGGGTTAGTCGGGGGAAATGGTAAGGATGAATTGTCCTCAGTAGGCAGTGTTTGGTGGTTCTGGTAGCCTAGTGGCGCCTTCCTTCTTCACGTCTGTCCCTTGGAGGAAAGGAGCGAAAGACGGGTTTTTTCGAATTTTTTTTGCTGTTCTTTATTCTTTGAGAGCCCCAGTATTGAAAAGTGGGACGCCAGGATGGATGACTATTATTGGGCAAGTGCGCTTTGCTAGGACAAGAGATGATCCCCAAAAAAATGGAAAGTTCAGAAAAGGGGTGAAATTGGGAAGGGAAAGCGTTGGACTCTGCTGCTGGCTGCGCACAGATAGTGTTATCGGCAGGACGCGCATTGGTTCGGCTCAGCGTCGTCCAGGGAGGCACCAGGCCTAGAGCCTACCTGGCCTAGTCGTTGACTCTAACAGGTTTTATGCGACAGGGCGCTGAGAAAGGTCGCCTTTGAGGGTTGCTTTGGGAAAGATACGCGTAGGACTAATCTGGAAGTACGAAAATGACTAAGCACAAAAACCACTTCTCTCAAGCCACAGTGTGGCTAGTAAATCGACAGCCTCGTCCACCCTCCACAGTAATTTATCACATTGCAGTCCACCACCAAATGAGCCGTCTACCTGCAACTATTTCCCCCTCAGTCACAGCAACGCCACCATGTCAGCACCAGAACGACCAGAGGCGTCACGAATCGCAATAAAGTTCGGCGGTGTATCAGCGATTACAAACAAAAAGCCAAATCGCCCGCCACCACCGTCATCTAGCCTGGGGAAGCGGCAGCGGCCGAGTCACGGATTAGGCGGCAACTCGGACTCCGAGTCAGAGGAGGATGCTCCCAAGCACGGCCGGCACGAGCGCATCACGGCATTTGGTGACAACGGGGCCGAGCTCGCCACGAGTACCAAGGGCGAGCGGGACGATCGACGAGCTGCCAAGCGCGGACCATTGACGATTGAACGACAGCCCAACCGCGACTGGAAAAAAGAGGCCCGGTCGCGCAACCAACGCAGTGGTCGGCCATCGGAACCGCAATCAACAAGTGCACCGGGAGATGGTACTCGGAGCGATGTTGATCCAGCAGACCAGGATAAACCGATAAAGTGGGGCCTGACCATTACAAAGACGACATCACCAACGGAAGGCGAGGCAACTGGACAGGACAACACAGCGGCGAACGGTCGCGCCGACACCCCGACCCGTGACATAACGAGGGGTACACCTGAAGGTCCCGGGGACAAGGAGGCGCAGACGGAGAAGGCGGCCGTCAAGGCACTGCTGGGCGAAACAATTGACGACAAAACAAAAACCCGGCGCGTCATCGAACGGTCTGCAAACGTCACCGAAGATGACGTTTTCGCCCGTGACTTTGATGACGCACCAGACGTGTCGACGCTGGAGGAGTACGAGGAGATGCCGGTGGAGGAGTTTGGCGCTGCGCTCCTGCGCGGTATGGGCTGGGACGGCAAAGACCGCGGCCCCAAGGTCAAGCAGGTTGTCAGACGACCAAACCAGATGGGCCTGGGTGCTAAGGAGCTCAAAGGTGCAGAAGATCTCGGCGGCTGGAACCACAAGTCTGGTACCAGCGGCAGCTCGGGATACCGAAAGGAACGACCCCCGAGGCTGCATGACTACCGCCGTGAAGAGGACAAGCGTCGAGAGAAGCGGGAGGAGCGTTACCGGGACAGCTACAAGGCTGAGCGGGATCGCGAACGGGACGATCGCAGAAACCACTACAGCAGCAGTAGCCGCCACCGCAGCCGACATGATCGGTGATAGACTTCGTCCGAAACGGGCAGAAGATGCAGTTCTCGGGGCTGGCGGGGCGCCGTTCCGCCATGTTGGCTGCTTTACCTACGTGAACTGCTCCCGGCAGTCGGATACTCCGACGAATCGTCTGCTCTCGAAACCTTGACAGGTCTTCTTCCGATACGTGTCCGGCTTGTGACTACTACTGGCGAGTTCTGCTTTCGGTTGGCTTCCATCCGGAATCTACGCAGCAAACAGATGTAACGAACACGCGACCGTCGGGTCACGTTGGGCGATGACGCTCGCACGAGGCATGACAGCTGACTCGAACGCCATTCTCTCGTCTGTTACACTTGTGGGGGCACGTACAGGTCCAACTGCAACCTTCCATCACTCTCACAGAACCACGACACTATCTTTTATAGCATCCAAGCGACCATAGAATAGCGAATACAAACGCGCCCGGATTTTGCACCGTCCGAGTTATGCGTTCTCACAAGCCAATATCCACATGTACGACATCCAATGGGGAGGTAAGCTACGGCTTTCATCATGTCACCATGTTGTATTTACACTTGCCGTAGTTCGTCGATTTGCTCGGCGGCAGTCGCATAAGCAGTCTCAGTGCCACTACAGCCTCTAAATTGGCAGTTGGAGCGAGAAATTTAGCGAGTTCACAAGGGCACACTGGCACAGTCAGGTGCCGCAGTTGGCTAAAACTGCTCTACTGCCCGCTAAAACCTACCGGTTTGAATCCAACATGCTGTCTTGGCCCATTGCCGCCGGATCGCGGGACCCCGTACTCGGCCCTTCCCCCGCGCAAGGGAAGGGTGTAAGTGGGCGAACTCACCCGATTCGCCGACACCCACCCTCGCTACCTGCTCTTGCGCATGCGTACACGTTTTCTCCACGCTCCGCCAAGCCAAGGCAAGACAGCCAGTTGGGCTGAGCATGTATCAGGCTGCAAGACTGGGCTCGGGTGACCTGCCTTTTCATGCACAACCCCCATCTTTTGTTTTGTCCGCCAATCGAGATCGTGAATCGTCTGGTTGTACCCTCTTTTACCCCAGAATACCATACAAAACATTGGCAGAAAGAAATACAAAACCTATATAAATTTCGGGCTCGGTCCTGTCCGTTCAGCTCCCGGAATACCACCAGAAAGTCAAGACGAAGCTGCTGCGGTTGGATCGCATGTGGTCCTCTCACGTACCTTCCTCAAATACTTGTTTTCGATTGTCGCTTACATAACAACCCGAGCCGTACGCCGACACCTCTGTGAACACCCAACATGGCCGCACCTTCCCCGTCGAGCGATGCCTGGTGGAAGGAAGGCACTGCCTATCAGATCTACCCGGCCAGCTTCAAAGATAGCAATGGCGACGGCCTGGGCGACATTGCTGGGATCCTCAGCAAGGTCGACTACCTCAAGGATCTCGGCGTCGACATCGTGTGGGTGTCACCCATGTTTGAGAGTCCACAGATCGATATGGGCTACGACATCTCCAACTACGAAGCGGTACACGCGCCGTACGGCACCATTGAAGACATGCAAGCACTCGTTGATGCCTGTCATGCGCGCGGCATGCGATTGATCCTCGATCTCGTCATCAACCACACATCAGCCGAGCATGCATGGTTCAAGGAATCGCGGTCGTCGAAGGACAATCCGAAGCGGGACTGGTATATCTGGAAGCCGCCTCGGTACGCCGACGATGGAACTCGGCTGCCCCCTACCAACTGGCGCAGCTATTTCAGTGGCAGCACGTGGGAGTGGGACGAGCACACCCAGGAGTATTACCTGCACCTGTTTGCAAAAGAGTATGTCTTTCGTTGTTCCTTTTTCTGAAGGATAGACCGTATGACGCGGCGAAAACCACGGCTAACAACGAAGGATGCCCGACTTGAACTGGGAAAACGCCGAGACACGCCATGCCATCTACGAGAGCGCCATGCGCTTCTGGCTCGACAAGGGCGTCGACGGCTTCCGCATCGACTGCGTCAACATGTACAGCAAGCGCGTCGGCTTCCAAGACGCGCCCATCGTCAACGCAGACGTCTTCGAGCAGCCTGCCTGGTCCGAGTACGCCAACGGGCCGCGCATGCACGAGTTCTTGCGCGAGATGAACCGCGTTGTGCTTAGCAAGTACGACACATTGACCGTCGGCGAGCTCCCACACACGCCGGACCCGCGTCATGTGCTTCGGTACGTCGGCGCCGCCGACAAGCAGCTGAGCATGGTGTTCCAGTTTGACATTGTCGACATTGGTCAGGGCGCCAGCGACAAGTACCGCTTCGAGGAGTGGAAGCTGCCGCGGCTCAAGGCCACTGTTGCCAAGTGGCAGCAGTTCATCGAGGGCACCGACGGGTGGACGACGGCATTTTGCGAGAACCACGACCAGGGTCGCTCCGTGTCGCGCTTTGCATCCGACGCACCGGAGCACCGCGTGCACTCGGCCAAAATGCTGGCTCTGATGCTGGCCGCGCTGACGGGCACCCTCTTCATCTACCAGGGCCAGGAGATTGGCATGATCAACGTGCCCACCACGTGGTCCATTGACGAGGACTATAAGGACATTGAGAGCGTCAACTTTTACCACACGGCGGCCACGGTGGCGCACGAGAAGTTCGCCGGCGATCCGGAGACCATCCGGCGCGAGATCGACTACGTCAAGCGCAGCATTCAGATCCTTGGCCGTGACAACGCGCGCACCCCAATGCAGTGGGATGCTTCTAATAAATCCGCCGGCTTCACGGACCAGCCTGAAAAAGCCTGGATGCGCACGCACGACTTGTATCCGGAGATCAATGTGGCCCGGCAGCAGGGCGACCCAGACTCCGTGCTCAACTTCTGGAAGAGTATGCTGCGCTTCCGCAAGGCCCACGCCGATCTCTTTGTCTATGGAAACTTCCGACTGTACGAACCTGAAAACGAAGAGACATTCGTGTTCGCCAAGACGACGGCCACGCCGGGAGCTGGCGGGGCTGGTACCGGTCAAGCAG